ATTTTTAAATGCTTATTGGCATCAGATTATTAATATCTTTCTAAAATATCTATGCATAAGCATCAATATTAGTAAATTGCAATTTGTTAATCTAATAAGTTATATTACTAATATTACTAGTGTAGTTCTGTTAGGATTGCGTTTCAAGACTGGAAATTAAATTTGGTACATAGTTTGCAGGATTGGATTTAACGTATAAAATTCTCACTGCATTTAAGCACTATTCTATTTGACTGTTTTTGGCTTTCATTTCTTGAATAGTATATTCGCATGATTTTAAAAGATATTGTGTTTAATATTGTTTTTTAATTTATTGTATTTTTCAGGAAACTTTACCTTTATAAAATTTTAATATCAATCTCAGCTACGTTATACATATATACATTGTAATATATTTCTTGAAGAAGATCTATGAATAAATTTGTAATTGGAAAATAATGCGATTTTGAAGCGAATTTTAAATAAATTTTAATTTAATATAATTTTATTAAATTAAATATTTAGAATTGTTCATTAAAACGATAATTAAAACTCTTATTAAAATATTTTGTCTTACGTAATACTGTATCTTATACATTTACATTTATTGTTCTCGTCAGTATATTTACTTTTTAATTGGAACACTCGAGAGAAGCAGCTATATGAAAATAACTCGCAGCCGATAGATAAGTACGCTTGTTCATGTCATTATTTATCAACGGTCGCTACCTACATTACGAGAGGATTTTAATATCTGAGTTTTCTTAAGAGTTTTTCACAGAAGAGAGAATATAAAAAAGTCAGGACATGACATCGGTAATACATTTAGCCAGTACCCTGCCAATCATCGCGTAACATCGTGGAATATTGAAGTGGTTGGTGGCGGAAATAGTTCATAGAAAGACGGAAGAAAATTGTTTATCAGTACTTGCGGCGGTAAATTAAAATTCAACGCCATCCCGCGCGCGATTTCACCTCCGCGCGATTTTTTCAGTTCCAGGAAGGGGAATGAAGTCGGTTGCGATATAAAAAGCCACCACTGTGCTTTTTGTACACTCTATCGCCGATTTCTCCGGCATCCAGTTTACTCAGGTAAGCGAATATAAGGATGGTTTTGAAAATACTATCGCCTTACACATTCGCAAGTTTTTACAAGTTACATACACAGACAAATTCACCGAGTGATTTCCATTGTCTCTCGTTCATTATAATCTAATCGATCGTTAATATACAGATATTATCTGCATTTAAAAAATTAACAAACTTTTCTCTATTTTCTTTGCTTTTTGTTTGTTTTTTATTTCCTGATCAAGGGATATAATCATATGAAATTAAAAAACAAGACAGACTGTGTACAAGGACAAAATTGAGAGAGCTCGGGCAATACTATTAATTCAAGACAATTAAAAGACAAAGACTATACAGCACATGTCTTTTTTGCAACATTGCAACGTTCCAGTAATATTATTGCAAATATTACAGCAATGTTTCTGCAAGCTTTTATGCTGTATGAATGAAAATCAAAACTTTTTAACAACATTTTATTCGCATGCATTTACAAACAAACATCTCTTCGAACTTTAACCGACATAAATTTCTTGATAATTTCGATTAAATTTAAATCAATTAAGACATCTTCCTCGATCGATAATAAAGCTAATAAATCAAATATTCTTTCTCGTGATAAAGTGATGCTTACATTTAAATCATTTATAATAATAAATAAAAAATCACATTTTTAAGTCATTATGTCATTTTTTAAATAAAGGAGCGATTTATATTTTATAAAATTCTCAGTGAAAAATATAAAAAAGTCCATCAGAACTTACATCAGCTGTTCGGATGCACAGAAAACTCTTTATTTTCGCGTGAATGTATTAGGTGTACAACTTTGCTTCGGCCGTTTTTTTTTCGAAATTCGAGGCTTTATTGTAAAAAACTGGTTATACATTTATGATTCAAAGTATTGTCCATCGCTGGCCACTACTTTCTCCCATCTTTCGGGTAGCGTACGAATCCCGCGTCGAAAAAACTGGTCATCTTTTGAGGCTATCCACGAATCGATCCAATTTTTTACTTCTTCATAAGACCGGAAGTGCTGGTCAGCCAGGCCGTGTTCCATTGATCGAAACAAGTGATAGTCAGAGGGAGCAACGTCTGGAGAATACGGCAGGTGGGATAGGATTTCCCATTTCAACGTTTCCAAATATGTCTTGACCACTTTCGCAACATGGGGTCGAACATTGTCAAAATCACTTTATCGTGTCTCTCGTTGTGTTGCGGCCGTTTGTCTTTCAATGCTCGGCTCAAACGCATCAATTGCGTTCGATACCGATCGCCTGTGATTGTTTCAGTCGGTTTTAACAGTTCATAATACACTACGCCGAGCTGGTCCCAACAAATACAGAGCATGACCTTGGACGTCAAAATCACCGTTCTTGAAGCGTTGAAACCACTCACGACACGTTCTTTCACTAATAGCGGCCTCACCATAAGTATTTGAGAGCATTCGATGAGCCTCAGCCGCAGATTTCTTCATATTGAAGCAAAAAATTAAAACCTCCCGCAAATGACGAGAATTTGGCTCGTAAACTGACATTTTCAATCGAGAATAACTTTATGATGCAGACACAAATCGACTAATGTTTCTATGGGGTTATGTTGACAGATGCCCAAGTTTATTGTATGACGTCTATGATCTATTTATTTCGACCACCACTTACCGCTAAAGCCATCTATAGGAAAACGGCGGAAGCAAAGTTGTACACCTAATAACAAAACGAATAAAATAAACATTTCAATTCAAATGTGCTTTTTTATATGTTTCATTAATAGATTTTTTTGAGTCTTATATATTGTCGTTTATAAAATTCTGTTGTGATTAATATTATTCTTAAAGTAGATCTATAATTATTATTTAAATAAATTAATTAAAATTAATAGATTCTAGAAGATAGAAACCATATAATTCGACTTGTAGCATTTATTGAGAATATTTATTTTAATTTTATAAATTTAATTTAAAAATAAAAGTTAATTTAAAGATAAAAAGAAGAATACATTACAATGCAATTACTGTTATTGATTATTGCTATTATAGAGAATAAATATATTCAGTAATTAGCAATTTATCTATATCTTTGACAACAATTTGCAATAAAATAAAAAAATAATTATTATAATTACAGACATGAATCTAACTCTTGCACTGTCCTGCATGATCGGGGTCATGTGGTTGTTCTGCGGAAGATGTAAAGCAGCTCCTGGATTAATCACTGGCATCCATCGCAATTTAGGAAAGCATCCACATATTCACGGGTAATTGTTGTACTTTATATATAGACCAAGAGGCTACTGTAGTAATTTTGTTACCCATAGTGATAAGTATAGGAGTCCGCCTATCTTGGAATAAAAATAACATTCAACTTTGACATTTTCAGTAAAAAAATCAAAACCTACATTTTGAAAAGCTCATCACTCCTTCCAGCGACCGCGACCGAACTTAAATATATATATATA